TTCAGATTGACATCGGGGAAGTGGAACGTATTCGGATCTTCTGTTTCCTTCGTAAAGTTGATTGATGGAGGAGCTCGGTTAAAACGATTTAATATTATGTTCGGTAAAATACTGTTGTCGGAAAGGATAAAAATGTCGTTAACATAACGGCAGTATAGCGGGAGTTGGTGTATTTTGTCTCGTAGTTCGTTGTTCTCCAGTTTCACTACGAAAACCTCTTCGAGGAATGGGCCAAGGGGGGAATCCGTCCGTCTATCTGTAGATAGTACCAATAAAGGAAAATTGGATATTATATGTGCATCGTAATAATAGTTCCTTCAGATTTGTAGTTGGAATTCCAATTTGTATGTTTCCCTCATCAATGTACTGGCAAAAGTAAGACACTGTCTCAAATTGTGGCACATTTGTAAAAAGTGATTGTATGTCCAATAAGCTCATTAGCAAATCTTTGACTTCCAGGTTCCGAAGTAGGTCAACAAATTCGAAAGTATCTTTCAGACTATGCTTGCGGATTTTCTTCCTGACCGGATCCAGTATTTTTACTAGCCATCAAGCGATTGAGTGAAAAGGAGATTTATGCACCGGTTGTAATGGCGTTCCAGCTTTGTGAAATTTCGGTAGGCCACATAGTTTGAGAATATTTCATTAATGGGTGGCGCGAAATTCGCGCTAGATACTGTATCCTCAAATCGTCTACAATTTGTTTTAAGTTAACTGATTCTTTTAGTCGTATTCAAAAGTGCAGTCTCGCTCTCGCTCTTCCTCTCTCTCTCTTTGTCTGATTGCGAAATCAGTACCGAGTTAGCATAAAAAAACAGATTGGTGACTGTAAAAAGTCCCAACAGAGCACAGAGGGGGAACGTTTAATCTTATTCAATAGAAGAAGAATCATCTGAAAATCACACAGAATACATAAGATTGGTTTGTATGCCATGTAGCGGACAGCGCTACTGACAAGCCGGGAGTAAGCGTCAATATAGCTTCAATATAGTAAAACTGAGTTTGGCAGATGTCTGAGGTTTTGAATAAATGCATGTGATAAAGCATAAAATAGATTACAAACAGTTAGTGTGTTTGAGTTTTGAAGATGTCCTGTAGGTTTCAAGCTTAATTCCCTTTGTATTCACCCATTTGTTTGTTCACAAACACCCAGTGCTGTTAAGAGTGAGAGAGCTAACGTGCGTTAGGTTCTGAAAGTAGGAAGACTCAGTGCCCGTCACACAGAGGTTGATCCCAAGAGTCACGCGGTTTTTTAGGTTTGGACCGCAAGATGGGCTGGAAATAATTGTCTTACTGAGGCAGCAGTTGTTTTTGTCTTACCGATAATGAGCTTCTCCTTGACCTAATGTAAAGGGGCACAGTCCTATTTTTATTAAGATCTGATGAAACTTTGCTTTTAGAGTAAATATTGAGCAGAATTATCGGAATTCGAACACACTGATCGTAGTCAGTAAGTTCCATGGTAAAGGGTTCTGCTTTTACTTAACTGAACTAAATCTCTATGGGGTATTTTGGTGCCAAATTATATCTACAATTTGAATTCACTTCCTCGCATAACAAGGAAAAAAACCACAGAGGAAGTGAATTGGTCAGCACCCCTTTAAAACTTCACGAAGGAATCCTACTCCGGCAACCCTGTGTGCGCAGCCCGCATGAGTACACGCTTGAGAAGCGGGCTGGTAGAAGTAACATCGACCATAGTTTCACCTTTAACCAAGTTACCGAACAAGAATATTCCTTTAATTTAGGAACCAAGGGACCTGAAAGTGATTTCGAACTCAGCCAATAACAGGCAGCGCTGTCTCCACATGATGGATTCACCGAAGAAGTTTATCTCTCATACTTCTTGCTCACGCGTAGCGGAGACCACATTTGAGCTGTAAACTCTGTTTCACTTGATCTCACCATGAAAAGTAACATGAGTCGGATTTTTTTTCTTTCTCTTTCTTTTTCATAAGATTTGGTCTAACCATTCACTCCGTTCTCAGTTGAGGATGGCAGCACCAAAGTGCACTCAGGTGGCAGGTCATACACATAGACA